CCAGGGAGCAGAGAGAGCTCTGCCCACCAGGGACAGGACAGAGACCCCAAAGGCACAGCCCAGGGACCCCCTCCCCCAGCCTCACCCCACCTGCTGCAGTCACCACCCAGTGAGTCCATCCAAGTGGATTAATCCACTATGAGTCTACACCCAGTGAGTCCATCCAAGTGGATTAATCCACTTTCAGTCTACACCTCTCATAATGTGATCATTTCACCTCTGAGCCTTGTTGCATGGTCTGACACGTGAGCTTTCGGGGGACAACTCTTAAGCTATAGATGTGGATGTGGGGGGTCTCCTGTGGCCCACGGCTGGCGTCGGTGTGTCTGGGGGACCTGAGCTCACGCCCTGAGCTGCCCTTGTGGCCTGCGGTGAGGACGGTGTCTGAAAGGAAGTGTAGACTGGATCAGTCGACGCGTTTGGTGGTAACTGGAGTGGACGGGAGGAGGGGACGGCTCTCTGATTGATGTCCCAGGGGTCACCAGAGAGAAGCGCCCTTTTCTGTTTTCTCTCTTTGGCTTTCGATATGGTCAACTCCTGTGCGGAAACCCAGCCCTGCAGCAGAAGGGAGGGCGGACGGCGCGCAGGGCATCGTCAAGACGGAGAATCCCGAAGGGGCTGGGCATCCTGGCCGGAGTCTGTGGGCCCTGGGAATCCTCGGCTCCTCCTGCTTCTGTGTCCACCCCACATTCCGGCTCAGGGAGGAGGGTGACGGCTGCGTTGGCAGTTGACRGTGGCTGCGGAAGTTCAGGGTGGCTCTAGTTGGGATCTTGGCTGTTTTCTGAGACCCCCACGCTCAAGGCGGGGTCCCCAGCCTGGCGCTGGGGGGAGTCTGCAGGAGGTTTCTTGTTATAGCGTCRGAAAGGTGACTGATACCGTCTAATCCATTTCCTGAGCTTCATTGGCCTTGGTCCTAGACAGGATCCCATGARCCTCTTCCTTCCTGGTCAACCTCATCGACCTTCGACAGCCTGGGTCACCTCCCATGGCAAGATAAGAGAAGCTGGTGGCCATCCATTGTTTGTTTGGGGGTATCAGGAATCGAACTCAGGGGCCCTCGACCCCTGAGCCCCGTCCCCAGCCCTATTTTGCATTTTATTGAGAGACAGGGTCTCCCTGAGTGGCTTCGGGCCTCCCTTTGGCGGAGGCTGGCTTTGAACTCACGATCCTCCTGCCTCAGCCTCCAGAGTCGCTGGGATGACAGGCGTGCACCGCTGTGCCCGGCTCACCCAACCCTTGTTTTGTGCAAGAAAACAGAGTCCAACAAATGCAGCGTCCCTACCKGAATCAAGAGTGGACAGACTGTGTTGGCTCTGTAGTTTGCCCGTTCAAAATATTCCCTTCCAACCTGGAAAACAATGCACCACTCTGGTGTTGCTGACCCTATGGAAGCAGCTGTCCAGGGTGACTTCAGACCGACAGCCGTGTCCACGTTGGGATTTCTCCCAGACACGTGAGTCTCATTCCATGCTGTGGATTCTGCAACCTTGTTCCACGTGTCTTTGCTCCTCTATGCGTAAAATCATATCCGTTCTCGGCAAGAAAGGGAGCTATCCCRAGCCGTGCCGTCTATTTCCCAAAAYGCCACGCCCTCGACTCACACTCCAGTTACTGTGAGGCCAAGCAGATGGAAAGATGACGTTCCTCTCATCTGTCCTCGAAGGTCACCTTGGCTTCCTTGTCCACGGCTTTGGGGAACACCACATCTTCTTTGCGCCCGTTTTTGATGCCCACCCGGGCTGGCTCCATCTTTGCTTCCTATGAATGATCTTGCAATGAACATTTTGGAGGAGCGTCCTTTGTCTTCTCCACAGTGGCTCTGCCAAGTCCGCAGTCCCTACCACGGCSTATGGCAGGTCCTTGGGTCCCCCATCGTCCCCAGAATTGGCTGCTGTCGGTAACCACCGTTCCCTCCGAGGTGCCACGGCATCTCGGGGTGGTTTCTATCTGCCTTCTGCAAATGGGGAAAGTTCACGGGGCATTTTTATGAATCAGTTGGAAGCTTTGGAACTTGGTTTTGATCCTGTAGATAAATGACACCCAACTTGCAGATGGCCCCTCTGTCCTCTGTCRGCCCCTTGAGCCTCCGAGCTGGTCCCAGACCCAGTGTTCAGCACCGAGCGCCTTATGCACTGCTCCAGTGACTGCTCCGCTACCAAGAGCAGCACCTGCTCTTAGCCGCTGCATGTCCCATCTCGAGGGTGGAGCTGGGGACCTGGGTGTCCATCAGGAGCGTCCATCAGAAGCRAGAACGCAAGGGCCTCGGGTGACGGCATCTTGCTCACCGGCCACCTGCCATCCCACCTGCACCTGGAGACCCCTTCCCTCTCCTGCAGGGAGTAGCCTCCTGCTACCTCTGAGCGGTGGCCGCCCACGGGCTTTGCAAGAGCGTCCAAGCCCCGAGAGGGCTCTTCAGCAGCCGGCCTTCCCCTGCACCCTGTGTGCGTCCGCTCACGACGGAGACACGGCCACCTCCCCGCATTTCCACGTTTTTATTTTGATTTTTTTCCGTCTTTCGCGTGCCGAGGTCTTGGGTCGGAAAGCCCTGGCTTTCACAGGAGGCTGCTTCCTGAGCCCCAGAGTGCTCTCCAAAGGGCTCATTTTCTGTATTCGTTTCACTCCGGGAGCAACGAGAGAGAGAGAGAAGGCTCTGGAAATAAAACATTCCGCTCAGAGGCTCCCTGGCAGCCCGCTGTCGGTCGTTCAGAGCCATCATCCCGTATAAATTGGTATCATTACATCTCCAGAGCCTTCCTGGAAAAAAAAAATATATATCTATATATTTGCAGACCTCTGGCGGCGGGGCATGGCTCTGAGCAGGAGGGAAAATAAAAGGATGGAAAGAGAGAATCACGCGGCCCAGTGGGTCCCCAGGGGACTCGGACAATTTCTCAGAGAAGAAGAATAGGGACACGTTAAATCTGTCATCGTGGTCATTGGAAAAAAAGAGTGGAACTTGGAGGAAATATCCGGCAAGGGGCATGAGCATGCAGAAGGACCGAGGGGGACTGGTGGGAAGGAGACCGCCGCACGCGTGAACGTGCACATACGCATATGCACGGAACTGGAGGTTTGTAGCCCATGGGGGTGACCAGACACACAAGGCGGCTGGCTTCGGCAAAGAAAAGCAGTTAGGAGTCCAGCTCCGAATTTAAGCGCTGCCCCTGCAGCTCTATGTCACCCCAGCCCCGCGCACACAGCCTGGGTCAGGTGGCTTCTGCACACACACACACACACTTTGAGCCGGTGAATAAGGAAGGCCAGGAGCCCCAGGTGCATTTGAATTAAAATTATACTCGAGCCGTTTTAAGTTTGCCTAAAAAAATGGAAAAGAAAGTAGAGCCAGGCAGAGTGGCGCACGCCTGGCGTCCCAGCGGCTCRGGAGGCTGAGGCAGGAGGATCGCCAGCCTCCGCCAAAGCGAGGCCCGGAGCAGCTCTGGGAGACCCTGTCTCTCAATAAAATGCAAAATAAGGCTGGGGACRGGGCTCAGGGGTCGGGTGTCCCTGAGTTCAATCCTAAGGAACCCAAATAAAGAAATAGAAAGGACAGAATTTTCATCTGTATCCTGTGCCCTCTGTGGGACAAGGTGCACCTTGACCTAGTTACTAGGTCATCTTTGTTACTATGGCACCATGTAGTGCTTGTTACCATCGGCCACCCAGGATCGATACATTGTTACTCACGGAGGGYTTGATTGACACTTGGGGTATCTCACTGCATGCACCACTGCAGCGTCCTGCCCGACGCTGGTCAAAGCCCAGAACATCTCCCAGGCTCCACCTGCTCACCCACCCCTCCCCTTTCACCCCTCACAACCACAGAACCTTTTATAATCTCCACTGTTTGCCTTTTTCCCGTCATAAYGTCGCACGGTGTGTTGACTTCTTTCCCTTAAGACACGCATTCATGTTTCCTCTATGTGTTTGCCCGGTGGGATCCCTCGATGCTTTCAATATTTGCATCAACTGGGTTCTCTGCAGTCTAGGTATCCACTCACCCTTTGGAGGGGAAATTTTTCTCTCACAGGAGGGGTGGGGGGGATATCATCTCGATGCGTCTACTTCCACTCGCTCGTGAAGCTAATGATCATTTTCAAGGAAAGAAGGCTCAGGTTTGTGTCGCCGCCAAATAACCCCAGAGCCAAASGAGCTCCCGCGCACAGGTGGCTTGCTGAGTTGTACCAGGGATTGAACCCAGGGGTGCTTCACCGCTGAGCCACATCCCCAATCCTTTTTTTATATTTTGTTTAGGGTCTTGATAAGTTGCTCAGGGATTCGATAATTTGCTGAGGCTGGCCTTCAACTTTTGAGCCTCCTGACTCAGCCTCCCAAGCCACTGGGATTACAGATGTGCACCCGTGTGCCCGGGCTCTGAGGTCTATTCAATGTCTCTTTGGCTCCACATTGATTCTTGCTGAGTACAGACTCTTTGCCTGCAGAGGGGACTCATGGACGGTCGAAAGGATCGCTTTTTGTTCTTCCCGTCAGTGTTATGATCCATAAAGTCACATTTGCGGGTGGTTTGCCGCGTGAGGTTTGGAGAGAAGAAGGTGAGACTGAGAAAACCTTTGAGGCCCGTGGATAAGCCCCGACCGTGGGTTCCCGACTTGGGTGGGTGGTGTCTGCTGTCCGTTTTTAAGGGTGACGTGCATACCAGATGCAGGGGTGCACCCCTGCGATCCCAGCTACTCGGGAGGCTGAGGCAGGAGGATGGCCAGTCTGAGGCCAGCCTGGGCAACTCCTTTCCGGCAYGTTCTCCCAAACCTCTCCTGATCCGCGAGGCTGGTTACTTGTAGAAGCGACGATGCTTCTTCGTAGTGAGCTCCCCTCCATGACTGGATCTTTCGGATGCTCCTTCGGGGGAGCCCCGCCTGGGCCCAGTGTCACGGAGGCCAATTCCACGCASGCCGCGGTCACCTCCCACCAGCGGAGGGGGGGACCCCGTCCCTTTCTCCCCGGATCACGGAACAGCGTTAACATGCATCTCTGCCCTCCCCCAGGGCAGGTCCTGGATGTCCTAGAGGAGCTGGGACTGGCCGACAAGACCCTCGTCTACTTCACCTCGGACCACGGAGCCCACGTCGAGGAGGTGACCGCCAAGGGCCAGAGGCATGGCGGCAGCAACGGCATCTATAAAGGTGAGAGGCGCAAAGTGAGTGGACAAGCGCTGTCCGCCCCCCTGCTCCGTGACCGCCTTTTCCTTGAGCCCCTGGTGTCCCCGGCACTGGACACTCACCGAGCCAAGGTGACCACTGGGGCTTGGATCTCCATTGGGCTCCAAAGCGGATCCATTTCTAAGCCACCAAATCGGTCATCTGCTGACTTCTCCCTGTCTCTCTCTGGCTTCCGTCCCCATCGCCTCTGATCCCGTGACTCTGTCCCTCTGTACCTTCCTGTCACCCAGACTCTGTGAGGCCAGCGGCGTGACCCCGTCCTCTCTCGCCATCTCGAGGTCTTTGGGGAAGCCATTGTTTGGCTTATGGGAAACCGTGGTCCCCTCTGCCACTCGGGTCTTGCGGCGGGGTCACCTTAGCTGTTTGAGCCGAGTTGCATGCAGGACGCGGGAGCCGCAGGGCAGGGCAGGCGGCCCAGGAGGATGGAGCCCGGGTGGTTCACGCAGCAGCAGCAGCAGCAGCAGCAGGAGACGCACTTGGCATTTTGCTTTGGTGGCCAGAGACACCAAAGCTCATGGAATACAGTAGCTCAGGAGGGTCTGAGCCTTCTCCAAAATGCAACAAGTTGATCCTTGCTGCATGTCTGCTGCCGTTTGCATTTTCAACATGATGATTTAATATTCAGGAGGTAAAGACGGAGTGGAAACATTCATTATCCACCCCCACCCCCCCCCACACACACAGACACGCACCTTTTAAAGGAAATGTGTTTTCAGTGGGATTATCCTGGTAAGACCTAGAGGTGGGTGAATTTTGTCTGTGAATCAGCTGGAGCTTAAAGGGAGACTGGACGGAGAGGCGAGATGGGATGTTCCGTGGGCAGGATTCTGCTCGGATTTCATCTTTCCACTTAAGAATGAAGGGTTTAGTGGGGTACGGCCGCACAGGTATGTCATCTGGTGACTSAGGAGGCTGAGGCAGGAGGATTGCAAGTCGGAGGCCAGCCTCAGCAACTTGGCGAGACCCTCTCTTTAAATAAAAATGATAATAATAAATTAAAGGGGCTGGGGATGTCGCTCATTGGTAAAGAGCCCCTGGGTTGAATCACTAATGTGGGGAGAAGTCATCCAGGATTCTTTGTCTTCATTAGTGGGACTAGTTAACTTAACTACGTTCTCCTACCAAGTTGTTAGGATCTTTATGCASAGCAAGAGAAATAAGTAAACAACAGAAATCCGACAATATTCACATTCATACTGGTTTAAATTTTTGTATTGATTTTTATTTTTTTAATGGCCAGTCAACAAAATCTGGTTGTGCGTGTGGATGGGGCTCAYCACGACGTTCTATTTCACGGAAACAGTGTCAGACCATTAGATCCGGGGAATGAACATTCTCCTGCCTCCTCCATCATTTATCATTGGCTCTTGAGGGGGGAGGACAGGAGAGAGGAAAAGGATCGGCAAAGGACGTTACAGGAAGGGAATCCTTGCACGCTGCTACAGAGTCACCGTGCAAAGTAGCACGGTCCTGAGTGCCGAAAACAGCGTGGAGACGCCTCAGAAAACGAGAGACAGAACCGGCCTGGGACTCAGCCACCCCACTCCTGGTTGCAGATGCGCACAAAGTGCMGACAGACACCCGCACGCGGTTCACAACGGCCGAGCCACAGTGCACCTGAGTGTGCCTCCGTGGGTGAGCGGGGACAGAGTGCAGAATGAGTGGCCGCTGCCAGACGTGGTTGGGGAAGGTGTGGGGGTGTCCCGGGAGGTGATGGATCTGGTCTTTCCGYCACAGCACCTCTGCAAGAATTCTCTGCACCAACATGAAGGTCCTTGCCCCAAACCCCTTCTTTTAACTTCTGTGCCCATCTGACATTTTCCSTGAGGATGTCTTTGCTTCATTTTGTCTCTCTGTCCCCTGTGAATCTGGAACCCAGAGTAGCTCTTCCTTAGATCTGGGCGGGACAGTCTCATCCCAACCTCGGAAACTCCCCCAAAACACTCTCCAACTTCTCCGACACGGAGGCAGCGTGCCAATCAGACATTTCCATCTACCAAACTTTGCTCACGCCCAGAGTCATTTACAACGTGGCGCGTGGTGACCTCCAGGCTTGGTGCCTAAGGGGAGGATGAAACTAGTCTACTTTTGTGTTTGGCGCTGGTCCCTCACCCTCAAGGATGTGACTCTGCTAGGCAAATCTTGCAAAAGTCAAATCAATAAGTAGATCCTTCCGTTGCCGAGCATTTTGGACAAGGGGTGCTCACCTGCAATGCGGTTTCAGTGGTTTTCCTGGTCCCCACGGGGCAGGGTCTCCTGGAATCTCCGAAACAAGTCAGTTGAACCGACTCTAATTTTTATCTTTGCCATCTCCCTCGTCAAGGTCACCCTGAAGGACGCTCATCCCTCCCTCCCTTCCCTCTGCCGATGGGCAAGCGATCAACGTCAGTGGGGGAGAGAAATTAACTGCACGGACTCTCTCTGCAGACTCGGGGGGGAGTGTGTCCAGCCACAGACACCCTCTGCCGTCCTGCAAGATGCTCTTAGAATTGCCCCCGACACCTGCAAGAGACGCATCTGTCTTCTCCCTTAAGCACAAATTCCAAAAGCAACGGATCGTACGAGTTGCTTTAAAAAAGAAGAAAAAAATCACTGATTTTGGCATCCGTTTGCCTCGCCGAACGACACGGCTTTCAGGGAGCGATTTGATCTTTTTACCGGGGGGAGGAAACACCATGGCTCCATTCCATCGAGGTGCACTTGTTGATGGGCATGGAGCATGGAGCACGCTGCGCCTGGGCTCGGTTCTCAGGCAGGACCCCAGAGAGCGCAGGGTCCTGGGTGGTCTCCAGGAGGTTAGATCGACGAGCTCTTTGTGCCGATCGGCAAYGGTGTGACCGGTTCTCCGGATCCTCCTGCTTACGGAAAGGACCCTTGGCTGCAAAACAGCATCCTGGTTTTTTGTTTTGTTTTGTTTTTTAATTGCAAATCAACAAAATCTCTCTCGGTTGTATCCTTTTCTCTTTGCTTGATGAGTCTCACGTCCTTTGGTTCTTCGTGAACCCAAGAGGACGAGGCTCTGCAGACACACACGCTGCAGCCTGGGTTTGCAGCRGGCAGGGATGTCTAGGTTGGGGTAAGTGCGCTCTGCCCAGTGGGCATCAGGGTGACATCCCTTGGAAGGCATTTCTGAGCAGGGGACCCTGCAAAGCGTGTCATGGAGCCATCCAGCCAGGGTAACGAGCCGGTGAGAGAACTCCCGGGGAGGAATGGTAACGCTGACCAAGGCGTGATATAAAAATGTGAAGCCAGGTACAGTGATCCACGCCTGTCATCCCAGTGACTCGGGAGGCTGAGGCAGGAGGATCGCGAGGTCAAAGCCAGCCTCCGCCAAAGTGAGGCTAAGCATCTCTGGGAGACCCTGTCTCTCAATAAAATGCAAATTAGGGCTGGGGACGGGGCTCAGTGGCCCAGAGCCCCTGAAGTCAATCCCCAGTTACCCCCAAGAATCGTATCCAACCAGGATATGATTCTATTACAGGCTAGAATATATGTAACATAGGTATTTTATATCATATCTGCATTAATACTATGTGTCACATAATATATATATATATAACATTATATGCAATATAATATGTATTTTGTAGCATATAATATAGGTGATATATGCATTATATTTCACATATAATATATATATATATGATATTTATAGAGAGAGACAGATATACAATGTAGGCGGGAGATCTTACGGAGTTTGATTAGGTAAAAATATAGTTCATTAAGTGGCTGTGACGATTCCCTCAAGGTTGAAGAATTGAATGGTCTGGCATAAGGACAGGGTTGGAGCCTCACCCTAAACCGGAATTCCGTGAACTCATGCAAAGGTGGCAAGAGGTGGCCCAAAGCTGGGGCTTTGTAAATMAAGTTTTATTGGCACACAGTCCTGCTTATCTCCGGAGGTGGCACAAGACCTTTGCTGATCTTTGGCTCCAGCTGCWGAGTTGAGTCATGGGGAAAGCCCCCCCCCCCAATCTAATTCATGATAGTTGCCATCTGGGTCTTGGGTAGAGACCCACATTTGCAGCCGTGGACTTTGGGACAGTCTAGTGGACAGGTTAGGGACTCCGTCTGAATCGTCCCAAGTGGGTAGACACCAGAGAGCAGGAAAATGAGAAGAAGAAAAAAATTAGARATATTTCTCCAATCCCTGTGCCCGGATCAAGCTGGAGAATGACTAGCCTATGCTCTTGCCGTGCTGAGTGACGGCGTCGGGAGGGACGAAAATAGCAGCCTCGTTTGGAAACAGCTGTCCCCAAGGAGAGCCCGGAGGAAGGGCCTTGTTACATCTTTGTGTCCCCTTTTGGTGACTTTGGGATCACAACAACCTAAGGACAGATCCTTGAAACTCTCTCTGTACCTTCGGTCGCTCGCTGTGTAACTCGGACCAGGTTTTCCCGGATGCTGAATGGGTTCAGCCTGTTTGTTGGGCACGTTTTTTTTTGCATTTTCGTTTCCGCGTCACGTTGCGGGAGGAGAAGGACTGGAGCCGGCCCATCTGATGACCAACGGTATTTGCCTCTCTTGCCTGGACATGTGGGATCCCGGCACCCAACCTGCTGTCCCAGGGCAGCGTCCTCGGATGGGTGTATCATCTGTTGCAAAAAAAAAAAAAAGAAGAAGTTTTAAAGACATATTTTCTTACCGTGGCTGTTACAAAAACACCCCCTTTTACAGCCTCAGAGAATTGCAGGAGATTCTATTTATTGATGCATTTGTTAGTTGGTGGCGGTCGGTGATGAACCGTGAGAGGCTCACCATGTGCGTGGGGTGACGTGACTTTGACAGTCGATGAGGGAGCCGTGTCGGATCCTATGCCACCGTGCACGCAGGAGGCTGGGTCTGGGGGCTGCAGAGACAGCTGTGTCCCTGTGTCCTGGGCCAGCACTGAGGGTGCCCTGTGCCTGTCACCTGCACACCCATAAGCCACTTCTTTGCAGGCAGGCGTGAGTGTTGTGGGCAGATGGCTGTTTGTGGCTTGGAATTCTTTGGGGATTTGGAGTCTCTGGAATGGGAGTGAGGGTCCTTGGGTCTCTGATTTCCCCCCTGGGGAGGATATAAAATCTGCTCCACGACCTGGTCCTTCTGCATCCTGTGGCCCTTCACGCTTCTCTGCCTGCAAAGATGAAGTGCGATGAAGGAGCTGCACAAATTCACGGGCTTCAGGGATGGACTCGGCTGGATTTGGATCAGTCACTCTGCCGTCGAGACAAGGCGCGTGCTGCACGTCACTACGTTTGTCTCCGTCCCAGACTGCGCACGCTTACAGTGCAGAGAGCCAGCTGGCTGTACCTCCGAGGGTCAGGTGTGAGGATTTAGTGAGATAAGGTGYGTGCATCTACCCACGTCACACAATAGCTGAGCAATTCAAATGGCTCACGGCGATGACCCAGGAAGAGTCCTCACGCAGACCCCCTGAGCTGATTCCTCGGGCCACCCCTGCTTCTCTGGCTTGAAAAATGCTAACGCAGTTGCTCAACTTGTGAAATGTTTATGTATCACGTGTCTGTGTGCGTGTCGATATGGAGCCTCCCTCATTGGAAAGCCGGGAGACCCCATCTTTGAGAAAGGAAGATTTGCTCCAAGTTCCCTGGGCACGCCGGAGGTCACAGAAATTTAACTTGCTCAGTTTAGATGGCATTTACAGCCAACGTGGATCGTGCATTACCCAGCTCTAGGTTAGACCGTGAATGCGTCTTAAGGTATTGCTCTAGAGAAGCAGTCCATATATCGACTCATGGTCCACACACCACCTGCAAGGCTCGGGGACTCTCTGAGATCCACCATCTGTTGATATTCGGATGCACCCTGAGCCTGGCGGTGTCTCCCAGGTCCCTAGTCTGGTAGCTTTAATTATATTCTAATTGCTTCCTGTGCACAAAGCTTCTTTCTCCAAGTGCACGGGAAGAGCTCTTCTGGTAATGATAACAGGTTTTTATTATTTTGCTTTCTTGTCGTCACGGGTGACTACGCTTGGAACGAGGCATGATCGTTCTGTCGAGCACCAGCCCACTGCAGGGACGGGACACAAACACGGCACAGCCGTTTGTCCAAGGGCACAGGGCAAAGTCCTCATTTCCTAGCACCAGTGTGGCTAGTGGGCACAAACTGGGTGGCTCAAAGCCACTTGTATTTATCAGCTTCTGCTGCCAGAAGTCACAAGCCTTCCTGGGCTAAAAAAAAAAAAAAATTACTAAAGTCTTTACGGAGCTGGGTTCCAGCGTGGGTCGGGGAAAGGATCTGCTTTCTCGCTGGCTTGGAAATGCTGCCCACCCACCATTACCTGGGGGTGCCCTTCTTTGGGTCAAAGCCAGGACCCGCGGGCCACCTTGCAGAGCTGATCCCGTCGGGCATAGCGTTGACCTTGTCGTTTATCTCTTCCCACCACCATAGCGTTGACCTTGTCCTTTATCTCTTCCCACCACCATAGCGTTGACCTTGTCCTTTATCTCTTCCCNTTTATCTCTTCCCACCACCATAGCGTTGACCTTGTCCTTTATCTCTTCCCACCACCATAGCGTTGACCTTGTCCTTTATCTCTTCCCGCCACCGCGGGCGCAGTCTCAGTCTTGAAGTGCTCTTTGAAGCCACCCAGTGAGAGTACTCGTTTGTCCCCAAAGTGACCGAGCACTGAAAAACACACGGACGTGCGTGAGCTTTGAAGAGACTAAAGGCTGTTCCCTCTTCCCTCTCTTTTTTGGGGGATTTTTTTTAGGAGGGAAAGCCAACAACTGGGAAGGAGGCATTCGGGTCCCAGGCATCCTTCGGTGGCCGGGGGTGATCGAGGCYGGTTTGGAGATTGACGAGCCCACGAGCAACATGGATATCTTCCCCACGGTGGCCAAGCTGGCTGGGTCACCTTTGCCCAAAGACAGGTACGTCCTTCCGTTCGAGGGGAGGGGTGTGGGACACTTTGGACGCTTCTTGTTGAGTTAATCGGACCTGGACCCTGTGAGGGGCCCACTCCATCAACGCCATTTCYATCTCTTGGCGATGGTGAGTAGCGCTGGATCAAACGTGGGCGCGGCCTATGGWCCACGCACTTTTAATATTTTTGAGAAAACCCCACACACACTGGTTTCTGTGTTGATTGACGTTGTCACCCAGGGTCACTGGACATGTTTTAGTCCCCTGGGAGGTGACGTAAGACGGTCCATCCAGCCTGCGGATGCTCTCTGCCATTTGTCTGGCTCGCCACTGAGCAGCAGGGCATGTGCCGCAGTCGGACCCCATGTCTTTCCTCTCCCCCCCCAGAGTCATGTCCAGGCTGAGGGGTTTTAAGGGGAGGCGCTGATCGATCGTTTTCATTCGCGACGGTTATTTTCCAAGCTCTGTTCTGGGGATGTGCCCGTCCCCGGCGCACACACATCCCCTCCTACCACACCAGCCAGAGAGGTGGCCACTGTCCACCTCTTGGTCTCGACTTCCCATACCCACCATCTTTATGCTGCTAGCAACTCCGCGTGGAAATTCTCTGAACCCGCGAGGGCACCCGCACGCGTTTTGTTAGCTATGGCCAACCCCGTGACAATGACATGTGGCTCCCAGGAAACCTACCGTAAGGATGCTCGTTAGAAAATAAGACAAAGAGCATCTTCCCGTGTGCTGGGAAAATCATCTTGGCCTCCCAGGCTGGCCTTGAACTCGTGATCCTCCTGCCTCAGCCTCCCCAGCAGCTGGGATGACAGGAGTGTGCCATGGTGCCGGGCTCTTGACATATTTTTTACTGGTGCATAATAGTTGCACATAATAATGATGGCATCTGTCATTACATATTTGTACACGCACAGAATATAATTTGGCCGATACCACTCCCCAGTACTTCCCTGTCCCTCTGTACATGTCCCCCCACCCCCCGGTCCCTTTTCCTCTCCTGATCTCCCTTTGAATTTTATAAGACCTGTCCCCCACCTCTCTTTTCCTTTGCCTCTCCTGCTTCTACATATGAGAGGAAACACACAACCCTTGATCTCCCTCCTGTGGCTTAATTTGCTTAACATAACGGTCTCTAGTTCCATCCGATGACCTGCAAAGGCCATCCTTTCATTCTTCTTTAAGGCTGAGTAATATTCCATTGTGTGTCTACACCACGTTTTCTTATCCACTCACCCACTGATGGACACCGAGGCCGGTCCTAGAGTTTGGCTGCTGTGAATGGTGCTGCTATAAACCTGGGTGTGCCTGGATCCCTGTCTAAAGTGGTGGCTACCACCCAGTGGGACTGTCCCCTTGGAGTTTATTTAAAATGCCTGGTGTTCCATTTTGGATCTGGAGTGTCCCCCAAAAGCTCATATGTTAAAGACTTGGTCCCAGCTGCTGGTCCTACTGGTCGGCGGGAGGGCACGTTAGAGGAGGTGCCTCCTTGGAAGGGCTGGCCCCTGGGAGCATGCCTTTGAACATATATATTTGTCCTTGGAACCTCTTCTCTCTCTCTTTCTCTCTCTCTCTCTCTCTCTCTGGGTCCTGGCCACCATCAAGTGAGCATCTTTGTCCCTCCACACCCTCCCCACCTTGAGGACAAGCCCCCAGCATATAGGGCCCAGCATCTGTAAACGGAAACGTTGGAAATCACGACCAAAGTCATTTTTTCTTCTTACAGTTGTTTYTGTCAGGTATTCTGTCACAGCAACGGAGCGCTGCCTACCGCCCCCGGGGAGGCGTTTTGATAGTTTCACCACAGGGTACCACCTGCAGCCCCTGGGCTGAGGCCAAGGGCCCTGCTCAGCCTCTCCCAGAGCATCAGGCAGCTGCTCAACAGTGAATTGTCTGACCCAGAACGAGATTGGGAAATCCTGCTCTAAAATTCACTCTTGTTCTTTTATGGAAAAGGTAGTTGCGATAGGAAATTCCATCAAAGGTTTTCATTAAAAAGCTTCTAGGTCACGTCTTCATCTTTCTCTCTGTCTGTAAATTGGATACTCAAAGACATACCTTTTACAAAGGAGCCTTAACTCTTTCCCGCCAAGATGGAATAGAAATGGGCTTTGTCGATTTCTTTTCTTTCTTTTTTTTTTTTCTTTTCCTGGGGATTGAACCCAGGGGAGCTTAACCACTGAGCCACATCCCCAGCCCTTTTTATTTATTTTTTTTTTATTTTGAGACAGGGTCTCACTAAGCTGCTTAGAGCCTTTTTAAGTTTCTGAGGCTGGCCTCCAACTTGTGATCCTCCTGCCTCAGCCTCCTGAGCTGCTGGGATTTCAGGGACCCCACAAGTGGCCGTCGGACTGATGTTGCTTTCTATTCACGTACGGCAGAGGGTTCGATGCTTATCGATGTTTTTGGGGGGTTGTGAAAAATGACTTTCTGGCTGCTAGGGACCTGAGTTGGGGCCCATCTGCACTTTCTCGTGAACATATTTCCTGGAGAATTATTTTAGTGCTTTCCCAGACGCCCCACTAACACTGTGGTCCACTGAGACCCTCGGGGACCGCCACTCACCAGGACCTTCCAACCCACAGGTTGCAGGTGGACCCACGCCGATCCCTGGAATCCTATGATACAGACATTTCCGGCCGGGTGCTGTCCYCCCTGGTTATTACCGTCCTTAGCCAGGAACCCCACAAGTGGCTTAAAACAATCCCAAGTGTTTTGAYAGCGTAGACGCCACTTAAAAGTTCAGCTCCGTGGGGTCACTTGCCATTTTTCATCGCGGGAATGAGCTTCCCTGTGACAGGCCGTATTTCTGCGGCACCGTTCAACGGCAGCTTTTCGGAGGGGTGTGATTTATAGCCTGCTTCTAGGAAGGAGCGTGTCAGGCGTCGGAGACATTATTATTATTATTATTTTTTTAAGAGCCTCTCTGTGCACAGGAAGGAGGAAAAGTTTACGGCATAGACTCCGTTCCCCTCCTTCACTTATACTAAAATATTTTGCTTTTTAAGTAAGAAAAAGACTTTTAAGACGTGGAGCCTACGATTTTTAATGCAATCCCATTTGTGATTATTCCTATGATAATGATTATTTCGGTTCCAAATGCCGATCTCGTAAAAGCACTTCCCTCTCCCCAAATCTTAAATCTCATGTTGAGTCTTGCTGGCATATGGGGGTTGAAATAAAGAAATGAATAACAGATCCAAGAAGTTAAGGTTGAGCTGGGCACGGCGGTGCACGCCTGTAGCCCCAGCGGCTCAGGAGGCTGAGGCAGGAGGATCGCGAGTTCCAAGCCAGCCTCCGCCAAAGGGAGGCCCTAAGCAACTCAGGGAGACCCTGTCTCTCAATAAAATGCAAAATAGGGCTGGGGACGGGGCTCAGGGGTTAAGCACCCCGGTTCAATCCCCGGTACCAAAAAAAAAAAAAAGAGGAAGCGGTAAAGAGATTTGTCCAATCGCTGGCGATTCCTCTTGCTCTGGGGAGTCAGGAGACACCTCACCAAGAGACATGATCCAAACCTGTCGCTTTTCTCCACGGAGGGGCTCCCCGTGGGCCATGCGCCTCCCTGCCCACCTCCTCTCCCTTCTATTCCTTTCCCCCAGCTCTTTGCAGGCTCAGAGTCTGGCTTGAAAGGGGTTTGAAAAGGAGGCACCTGAGGGTCCCCGCGGAAGGCTGCACAGAACCGGCCCTCGCCTCCCGCTTCTTTCTCCTCCTGGGCTGAGATGAGCGGCAAGCAGCGGCCCCGGGACAGGAGCCAAGCCTGTCTGGGGTCCTTATTTCTAACGTATGATAATAGGGTCTTTTCAGCCCCGAGACTTGGGTGCATTAACCAGGAGGGCTGAGGCTGCAGGAGCAGTGAGGCTGAGCAGTGCGTGCGGCTGTCCACACATTCTGGGGTTTGAATAGCAACGAAATAAACCTCAGAAAATACCCTCAGGGGCCCAGAGGACCCTTAAATCCCTCCTGAGAAGACGAGGCAGGGTCGCAGCGTCTTCAGGGCATCCCCGGCTGCTCCAGGGCCGTTGACGGTCAACTCAGGACCAAACTGAGGCTTTGGCGCTTTTATTGAAACTCGTGGCTGATGGCGTCTGTGCCTTGTTTGCCATCGGGAGGGACACGGGACCCCTGAGCTCCGTTTTGTATTTTATTTGGAGATGGGGCCTTGCGGAGTTGCTTGGGGCCTCCCTGTTGCTGAGGCTGGCTTGGAACTGCAGTCCTCCTGCCTCGGCCTCCCAAGCGTCTGGTTTTGCAGACGTGAGCGCTGGGCTCCCCTRCAGGTGGCCCCTGCTGCCATCGGTTGATGTCCTTGGTGCTGGTGACGTCCCCCAGACCAGCACCTCGGCGGGGAAGGACATTCCCCAAAGGAGACTCCCAGGTGATGCGCGCTGCATCCACRCGCACCTGACCTCGCCCCACCTCCTCCTCCTCCCCCCCGCAGGATCATCGATGGCCGAGACCTGATGCCGCTGCTCCAAGGGAAGAGCCGGCGCTCGGAGCATGAGTTCCTCTTCCACTACTGCAACGCCTACCTGAACGCCGTGCGGTGGCACCCGCCCAACAGTGAGTACCGGCCTCCCTGCCTCCCGGAGGCCGCCGGCCCCCAGACCAGRAATGCGCTTTCCTTGGGCCCCTTGGGCTGGCTTGGAACTCACGATCCTCCTGCCTCAGCCTCCCCTGCCTCAGCCTCCCCAGAGGCTGAGGTCCGACTTTCCATTCCCACTTTAAAAATCCGGAWGGCTTCCTGGTGGCATGTTCTAGAAGGCAGAGACCCTGGGCTCGGGATCCTGGGTCCGTGGAAGGAGTCAATGCGTGATCGTGCAAACGGCAAATGCATGCAGCCAGCCAGCCCCCCGGMGTAGAGAGACCCAGGAGATGAACATATTGGATCAGGGGCTGGGGGATGCCTTATGTGGAGGAGTAGAGAGAACCGAGGGTAGAGACAGGGAGAGGTGAGAAAAGCAAGACCCAGTTTCTGGTAGGCAACTGGCCCTGGGATGAAACTGGCTCCCGAGACAGGCGCCGGTATCAGCTCCTTTCAGTGCAATTTCTGAAACTCTTGGGTCTTGAGCCAGACACACAACAAACAGGAGAATCCACCCTATTGCAAGGCTGGGCCTGCTCACGGAGCCAAAGGGGTCCCTTTCCTATCCACAGTGGGTCGCACGAATCCGCAATGGATTGCAGGAAGGGCTTCGGATCTGTTTTCCCCATGAGATGCAAACCTCACGCACCAGGCTTGGCCCGCCCGGGTTTCCCTGCGTGTCTCGGTGTTTACTGATTGGCCGTTCCCTGCGAGTCACCTCTGCCGCAAAGACTTACCAAGAAGCTGCTCTGTGCAGAGTGCGGCTCCGTGKCCCATCCCTCAGGGAGCAAAACGGACACGGTTTTCCGTTGCAAGTGGATTCCATTCTAGAGCATTCTGGGCCGCAGCCTGCACCGGTGCGTGGAATAATGGGGCGCGTCGGTTTCCTCCGGACGGACGGAGCTTTCTCGAGGACTTGTCCGGGGATTCGGCTTCGATGCTCAGACCCAGAGATGGCCCATGACCATCACAGTAGGCGGAGTTCTCTGTTAAGTCTCTCGCCCGGTTGAGTGACGTGAGTGAATCACAAGCCACTGTCATTGTCCCCGACATGTTTTAYTTACTTATTTATTTTAATACCCGAGATCCAGCTCAGGGACGCTTCACCACTGAACCACAACCCTAGATCTATTTTTTTTTCCTTTGGAGACAGAGTCTCGCTGAGTTGCTTAGGGCCTAGCTAAGTTGCTGAGGCCGGCCTCGAACTTGTGGTCCTCCTGCCTCAGCCTCCCAAGCCGCTGGGATGACAGGTGTGCGCCTTCAGGACACCTGGCTCCCACTATATTTTTAAAAACCCGTGAAACCGTTATTATAAGATGGATACATTTTCATGCAGTGAAATGGAGATTTTTGAGTCAAGCATTGATGGTCTGATGCCTATTAAAAGTGGTCGCTGTAAATTCTGGCATCGGAATCATTACAGCTAATGATGGTAGTCAGTGAAAATAATTCTATTTAAGTACGCGTCCAGAATTAGGTGGACACATTGCAATTCATACTGCAATTCGTGGGACGACGGCTGTAGGCATATTCTGGAATCCAGTGCATTATAATACATAATTAATACAGCCACGTGCCGTATACTGACTTTTATTTTGGAGGGAGGGTATTGGGGATTGAACTCAGGAGCACCGACCCCCAGCACTTTTTTCTGTATTTCATTTTGAGACAGAGTCTCCCTGAGTTGCTTAGGGCCTTACCAGATAGCTGAGGCTGGCTTTGAACTCGCGATCCTCCTGCCTCGGCCTCCTGAGCCTCTGGGATCACGGGTGCCCAGCCATACAGGGACATTTTGGAGAAGACGATGGTCATTCGCTAACGTTTTAAATCGTCTGACCTAAGAGTCCATGAACGCCACGGGGCGGAAAAGGACCCGCCGTGGCTCTGGGTGGTGTGTGTCCGTGGTGCAGACGGACGTCAATCCAAATGAACTCTAGAGAGACGGAGGCAGCCAGAGACCTGGTACCTAGGGATGGGGATGAAGGCAGGGAAGGTTGCCAGGCAACCAGGTCTGGGCCTTTCTTCCGCGGGCTCCATCCCTGACGGTGGCGGCTTGGATGGGGCCCCGACCGCCGTCTTTCCCACGGGATACCCAACACGTTTTTATTGATCATCTATTATACGCCGGGGACCTCCTCGAGAGCCAGATGAGTGGTGAGAAGGGGTCATTTCCCAGCTGGGCATCCGGGACAGGCTCACGGAGGGCCCGGGGAGGTGGGTGGGGGGTGAACGCCCAGCGGCCAGGCAGGGAGAAGGGTGATGTGCCTGGTGTTCGCCGTGCACCGGGTTTGCACCCTGGGTTTGTAGAGGATCATCTCGGATTGGTCTCCGGTCCAGGGGGACTTGAGTCCCGTGCTCTTAGCCCCAGCCCTGAGCCGTGTCCTGTTCCTGGAGAGTTGTGCATCCAGAGTTGTCCCGCAGCCGCCCCGGGAAGCAGGAGGAGGTGGACCACGAGCTCTGGGAGCCGCCGTGGGTGTCGCGGGGGTCGGCCACGGCCTGGGCTTCTCTGCCAACGGCCCGTGGTCGGCACCTGCTGCCCAGCACCCTTCTGGGAGCCCAGGGACGGCGGCTGTGGGGTGACGCCTGTCACCCGGCCTTATCGGCGGAAGGCAGAAGGGCCAGGCGCCTCTAAGGGACTCAGACGCAGGCGTCTCATCAGGAGCCCCGATGGACTCAGGCCGGGCAGCTCGCCCGGGTGGCCACGGCGTCTCCCCCAGATAAAAACAAAACCACCGCTGGGTCAGGTTTCCCCTGGGCACACCATGAATCCCAGCAGCTCTGGAGGCTGAGGCAGGAGGATCGTGAGTCCAAAGCCAGCCTCCACCAAAGGGAGGCCGTCAGCAACTCAGGGAGACCCTGTCTCTCAATAAAATGCCAAATAGGGCTGGGGACGGGGCTCGGGGATCGAGGGCCCCTGAGTTTGACCGAGGGACACGCGCTGAGCTTCTCAAAGCCCCTGCAGCGTGGCCCTGCCTCTGTGCCCAGTCGCGGGTGGCCGTCCGCCGCGCTGACCCTGTGTCCTCTCCCCCGCAGGCTCGTCTGTCTGGAAGGCCTTCTACTTCACGCCCAAGTTCCACCCCCAGGGCGCCAACGGCTGCTTCCACACCCACGTGTGCTTCTGCCTGGAGGGTCACGTCACCCGCCACCAACCGCCCCTGCTCTTCGACCTGTCCACGGACCCCGGCGAGACGAGGCCCCTCACCCCGGAGACGGAGCCGCGCTTCTGGGACATCCTGAGGGCCATGCAGGAGGCCGCCGACCGCCACACCCAGACCCTGTCGGCGGCCGTCCCCGACCAGCTGTCCCTGGGGAACACCCTGTGGAAGCCCTGGCTGCAGGTCTGCTGCGCCTCCGCCTCGCGGCTGTCCTGCCAGTGCCACCCGCAGGGGCAGGAGCAGGGGGCCAGAAACTAGCCGCTGGCCACAGACGGGCCCGGGCCACGCCGTCACCGTCGGCAGGAGCCAGGGGGGGACATCCGTCCTCCTGACCCACGTCCTGCGAGCGGGAGGCAGGGGACACTCGTGCCTGACCCTCCGTGCTCCGCAAAGGCACCGGAAAGCACAGAGCCACCTCACTCACCCCACGGCCAACACTTGGGRTCCATCCACGGGGGACAGACGTGTCCTTCCCTCGATCCCCCGAAGCTGTGCCATCAGCCACATGCAGACGACGGCGACAGCGATCGAGTGTAGCAAGAGCCGCTCAGACCTCAGCGCGAGCCGMCTTGGAAGGGACATGGTCCCAAGGAGGACCCTCGGTGGTGACGTCCAGTCGGGGGTAATGGGAGGGCAAATGAGCATTGATGACCCCATGGAACCCAGGGTGGACGCCCCTCACCATGTCCATATAGAGAGACGGATGGACAGGAAGACGCAGATGTGCTATATATTTATGTGTATAGAGATCGATCCACATCCCCCATGTATTGTTCACGTGCCGACCRCCTTCCCCCCACTATTTAAATAAAGATCCATAAAAGCTCACGGGTGTCCTCCGTGAACGCGTCGTCGAGTCCTTCCCTGACACCAGTCTCCCTGAACCTSATTTCCATTCCTTCGTTGATGGTATCGCATTTGGGTTCCATGGTTTCTTTGGTCRGTGGACCTTGGGGTCCCCAGGGCACTAAGGGAGATACTGCACTTGAGGGGATCCCTTCCAACAGCRTTCAGAAGGACCCGCGGGGAAAGTCTGTGTTGTTTTCAGGCTTGGGGACGATTCCTTTTTCTTTTCTTTTGGAACCAGGGATTGAATTCAGGGCACTCGACCCCTGAGCTCCGTCCCCAGCCCTATTTTGTATTTTATTGAGAGACAGGGTCTCCCGGAGTGGCTGACGGCCTCACTTTGGTGGAGGCTGGGTTTGAACTCACGATCCTCCTGCCTCAGCCTCCTGAGCCGCTGGGATGACAGGTGTGGACCACGGCACCCAGCCCTTGGTGACTTCTTGATGTGTCCACACTGGAGGGGGGGGGGTTATCTTCAGTTGTGGGTGTGAGCTGCAGAGGAAAAAGCCCGTGTGAACACCTGGGTGTGGTTTTATCCCGTGGCGGAGACTCACCACCCTCAGATGCACGGTGAACGGTGTTTACTCGAGACCTTCGGTGCAGGTGGGCGTCCAGGAAGCCCCTGGTGACGGGACAATATCTGTCGGGGGATGACGCCACTTGGCCAGCTTTAGGAGAGTCCTCGGGCGCCCGATGGGTGAGGGATTAGTCATTTAATCTGCAAACCGCAAACAGCGCAAAATATGATCTTTATTTTAACGTCCAGGAGAGCCCTGACCAAACTTGTCGATGGCATCATTGCTTTTGTGTTTTTCCTGATGTATTATCTGTCTTTCTGCCGAGCTGCGAGGCACGACGACTTATTTCCAAGGAATCTTGATGATATACGTGTGGAGTGGCGGGTGCACAAGATGGCTTAGAACTTGGGCAGGCAACAGCTAAAACCAACTACCCCCGGCAATTCAGAAGGGGCTACCCTCATCAAGAAAAATGAGGTGGTGGCATTTGCAGGTGGATGGGGGGAGTTGGAGAATGTCAGCTGCTGGGGGAACCCACGGGAGCTACCTGTGGGGTGTCGGCCGGGTTTTGCTAAAAGCATGAAGTTAAGTCACGTTGAGCCGCTCGACAGCAAGACCTTTCCGAGCACCCGAGATGCCACCAAGAAGAGGTAGAAATAAGAGATGGCTCATATTGCTGGTTGTACGGGATGTGGAATCCCATTGGTCTTGCAGTCATACCTCCCACCCCAAACTCCTCCCTCCATTTGCTCCCCTCTGCCTAATCCAAAGTACCTCTATTCTTCCCTAGCCACCCTCTTACTGTGAATTAGCATCCGCAGATCAGAAAAAAACATTCAGCCTTTGGTTTTTTTGGGATTGGCTTATTTCACTTGGCATGATATTCTGCAGCTCCACCCATTTACCTGCCAATGCCATCATTTCATTCTTCTTCATGGCCAAGTAATATTCCATTGTGTAGATATGCCACAGTTTCTTTATCCATTCATCGACTGAAGGGCACCTGGGCTGATTCCACAGTTTAGCTGTTGTGAATTGTGCTGCTATAAACATGGATGTGGCTGTGTCCCTGTAGTGTGGGCTGATTTTAAGTCCTTTGGGTATAGACCGAGGAGTGGGATGGCTGGGTCAAATGGTGTTTCCATTAGAAGACTGGGGGTCAGGGGTGTGGCTGTCTGGTACAGGAATGTGAACCCTGACCTTTTATTATCTGAATCAGCCTTTCTTTTTCTTTTAGCTCCTATCACAGTTAGTGAATTCTGATGTCTAAAAAAAAAAAAAAAAAATTAAAAAAGACAATGGTGTAGAGTCTTATTTCCCATGACAAGGCTTCAAAGCGCAACTTTAAAACCACGGTGTAGATTCCTCCAGGCAACAGGACATGGAATGTTTCCCCGAGGGACCCCGAGCCCCTGGTCTCAGGGTGACRATGGCCSTGTCACCGTGTGTCCTGCAGCAGCTCCGCTGGGACGGCACCAAGGGCCTGATGAATACCCTGTCCACACGGCTACTTAAGCTCCCGGGCAGAAACATGGGCCGGAATTTCAGACCCTCACCCCTCACTGTCTCGTGTGTCTAAAAGAGCGCAGGGACCCGGTGTCAGCTCACCGCTTACCGCGGCGTAAAAAAATACATATTTCTCTGCAAAAAAAAATATATATATATAGATGGTCTCCGGGCTTCTCTCCTCTGCAGAAAATGGCTAAAAATAAAAAGAATCCGTTCTGGAGACGCAGAGGKTTAGCGGAGGACTTCACGATGCCCTTGGGTCGGCTCTCGATGAGATCTGGCGGGGACCGTGCCTCTGACAGATTGGTGGCTCAGTGCTCTTTCCAGAAAATGAGGCGACGGCTAAATAATGCTTGCCAAGGCTCTGCCCTGTGAATGCCACCGAGACTTGGCATTGCCCAAGCATCTCCAAACCTTGAGCCGCTGTATACAGCTGGACCGGTCCTCTGTGCGTCCATGGCCCATCCAAATCCTCCTGACGGTTGCAATATCCCAATTGCAGAATGCTCCCAGTGCGGGAGGAGAAAAAGCCCCGTGGCCTCCTGGATTCACGCCACCCCTGCTTGGTCATTGAAAATTTTCCTGAAATGTAAAAATATGGATCGGCCGAAGCAGGGAGTTCATCAGATTGCCCTAGRTATWTWTTTTTTTTTAAATCTTGGCAGAAAAACAGAGAGCTCTTTCGAGCATGGAACCCGGCTCTCCCATCAGTGTGTGGTCCTCGCTGGTGGCCAAGACCTTAAATAGCRAAAAGCAGGATGCCTCTGTTGAGCACTGACCAAATCTATAGGAAAGACCGCGGTCTGCATTTTTGTATTAAATCTGATAGTAGGAAAGGTGGTGGGTGCATCATTTTCAACTTCAAAGGACGTGATTTTTCAGTCGCCTGTGGAAACCTCACCCCCCACCCCCAAGACCTCCGCCCTGAGCTGCAGAACTGGTCACAGTGTTACCCCGCAGCAGCTTCGGCCACAATGTTCCTAAGTTGTTTCCTCCTCATTCTTGCGCAGAAGTGGAGACTTGCAATGCATGCTTCAAGGTGGACTGCATCCATCGCCGTGCAAATATGCTTCTTTTGAGCATCTCTATTTTTGTGAAAGTCCAGCACCCGTGGAGAGAGACATTATTACGGCATCAGTATTTTTAAGGAGTRAATTGTAACGGTGGTGGATTTAAGAACGACCTCGATCGTAGATATTACTGCTGTGTTGTGTCCAAAAACAAAAAAAATCTCAACATGCAACGGCTCCATGCAGTACCCAAGTTGTAGAACTGTGGCTTGTGGGAAATCGGTGGAAGGATTTCTCCCATCTAGGCTGAGCTCAGATGCAGCACCTGTGTCAGGTCCGTGAGCAGCTGGGGGACCAGGGTTATTGTGGGTCGTCAGGAATATAGGGACAGGCAGGGCCTCTCTTTCTGTGGCTTTTGCATTCTGCAGGAAATTGATCCAGGATGGTCCCCAAGGTTGCAATTCAAGGGGTTTCAAATTCAGCAGAACTGGATAGTCCCCCCGCCCCACCCCATGCAAATGTGCAGCAGGTTTCTGCCTGGGTCTGTCACAGATACAACCGTGCACGGGTGGACAGGGTGGACGGGGTCCCTGTTTGGTTTTACCGTCTACATCCCCACATTAAAATTTTAGCAGCTCTCACAACCGGAAATCAATGGGGGCTGCGCAGAGACCCGTGAAAATCCTCTTGTCCATAGAATCGATAGCAAAACCATGAAGATGGTAAAGGCAGAGCTTCTGCAAATCCAGCAAGGTGTGCCCACACGCACGCACCCGCCGTTTGCACAGAATGTGGTAACTCCCTTCCATCAAAGGGCCATTGAGAAGCCTGGTGGTCTTCTGTGCCCACTCAGAAGAGCCCCCAGCGCTCCGTTCTCTCCATCCAGCTGGTGGGTGCCTGTCCTTCCACATTTGAGCCAATCCTAACCTAACAACCACACAGTGCAGCCCAGGAAGTGGAATCAGCCACTCCTGCCACATTYGTGCCTACCCCAGGGACAGACAGAATTACATATCAGTCGAACAGGGTTCTACCTCAGCCCTACACCCTGCTCCGACCTGAATCATTACCCCGTCCTCCTCCCCAGCACCCCTCATCCCACACCGTCAACCCTTGGTGTTTCTTCCTCCGGAAGTCGGTACTGGGAAACGAGGTTATTCCGACCGCTTTCCTGATCTATTTCAGGCAAAACTGAGAGCCCAGAATAGGAAACAGCCATTGGGTTCTGACTTGCGGAGTGGCACCGATTTTTTTATTTTTTATTTCTAAAGGCAACGACTCAAATGCACCTGGCAAAATGGAAGAGGATTTCAGAAACATGGGTTCCAGAAAGTTCCATCCAAAGAGGTCAAGTTGGTAGGGCTTTTGCAAGCCCTGTTTCACGCTACTCTGAGGACCTCGGCCCTGACCTCTGAACCACAGTCTGGAAATCAGGAGAAGAARTAGGAGAACGTTAATCTGTGGCTCCGGGTGGTCCCCTGGGCTATTAGAGTCCTTGGAGATGTTGAGGCCGTCACTGGAGACAGCCAAAATCAGAGAGACTGTCTATGTTGTGCTACTGTAACAAAATACCTAAGGCCATCAGCTTATCAAGATAAAAGGTTGACTTATCTCACAGTGCTGGAGGATCCCTTCTACGATCTGCTGCTTTCGGAATGCACGTTATGGTGGGAACACGGGTGGAAGAAGAGGCTCACTTCATGGAGGCCAAGAGGCAAGGAGAGAAGGCAGAGGGATTGGAGTTCCGGGAGCCACTTCCCAGCAAGCATACTGTTGATGGTCTAGACGGGAAGCATCCASCAAAAACTCATCTCTGAGACGGTGCAAGAACGTTCAGAGGTGAAATGATTGGGTTATCAGAGCCTTCAACTAATAGTGGATTAATCCACTTGRATGGACTCACTGGGTGGT